CAAGTTCGTTTTGATGCCCCAAACAATTAAATCCATGCACGTGAGGGGGTCTTCAAAAAGCTCGCTGCAAATGAATATAATGAAAAAAAAATCTATGCATGGATTTCAAAGACTTTTGCACCAAATAAGCTAATCTTTTCATTCCGCCGTCCTGTGAAATTTTTGAACACACACACACACTGACATCACACAACCATAGGGCCAGGGGGCAGTGCCTACAGCACTGGCCACTGCTCAGCTCCAGGTAAATCAGGTCCAGTGTGAAGCCAGGAGGACCTGGCGTTGTCAGAGCTCCTGATTTTTGCAGGCAGGGCACGAACTCCAGATTTTAAAGCTCCACACGTTTAAATGTTGACTTTTCTTCAACAGCGAGGCCCAAGCAGACTACACGTGAGAGGGTCAAGTTCGGTGGTGGATGGCCGTTGCACAGCTCTGTCCTGGGCTGGCAGTGACCTCTGCCGTGACACACCCCGGCCCTCTGGGCTCCTGCCCCCCTCCTCACGCTCAACGCCAAACTTCTGCTCCCCCCTTGCTGACTCCTATCCACCCTTCAGCACCCAACACCAGGGTTACCCCTGCCATGGGCTCCTTCTCAGCTCTGCCCCACTCTCCAGCCTCCCACTCAGAAGGCAGAGAAGATGTGACACAGGAAGAGGGTAACGGGGAAAATGAGGGGAAGTTAGAAACCGGGTGTTTCACACACGGGAGGATTCAGGGCCTCCTCGGAAAGGCGCCCTCTAGTTGCTGGGAAAGCTACTTAAATAAGGATCCCATTGGATCGGAATCTAATAAAATGAATTTTTTAAAGGATCAAATAAAAAGAAATGCAAATGCACAGATCATAGGCTGGACTTGAGAACAGTTGACACAAAAATTCTTGGGAGTGTCAGCTTTCAGAATGAAAGTAAGACAATCACCGGCAGGTAAATGTCTTCACCGGTCTTGTTCAAAATCAGTGTCCAGGGCAGGCACTGCGGCACAGTGGTCATGCCTGCATCCCACAGCAGAGTGCCAGGTTCAAGTTCTGCCTGTTTCCTATCCAGCCTCCACACTGAAGCACGCCCTGGGAGGCGGTAGTGACAGCTCAAGTACTTGGGTCCCTGTCACCCACATGGGAGACCCAGACACAGTTCCTGGGTCCTGGGCCCTGGTTTTGACCTAATCGTGTCCTGGCTATTGCAGGCATTTGGGGAATAAACCAACAGATTAAAAGATCTCTCTTTGCTTTTCAAACAAATATAAATAGATGAACTTTAAAAAAAATTTTTTTTATTTTTATTTATTTATTTTTTTTGACAGGCAGAGTGGACAGTGAGAGAGAGACAGACAGAGAGAAAGGTCTTCCTTTGCCATTGGTTCACCCTCCAATGGCCGCCGCGGCCGGCGCGCTGCGGCCGGCGCACCGCGCTGATCCGATGGCAGGAGCCAGGAGCCAGGTGCTTTTCCTGGTCTCCCATGGGGTGCAGGGCCCAAGCACCTGGGCCATCCTCCACTGCACTCCCTGGCCACAGCAGAGGGCTGGCCTGGAAGAGGGGCAACCGGGACAGAATCCGGCGCCCCAACCGGGACTAGAACCCGGTGTGCCTGCGCCGCTAGGCGGAGGATTAGCCTAGTGAGCCGCGGCGCCGGCTAAAAAAAAATTTTTTTAAAAGGAAAGGGACAAGACAGCCCTGCCCATCTGTGACTGCTCACACTGCGCCGGAAGGTTCTGCCTGCTCCTGAATGCTACCCTCTGCCAGACAGGACCTGGGGCAGGGCCCAGGGGAGCTGCCAGGGTGAGAGTGGGGCAAAGCCGAATCAGGAGCGCCCAGGCGGGGCCCCGGGACTGTTCCTGGTGGCAGAGGACCCGGGTGGGTCCTTCTGTCTTCAGCAATGGACCGGTTTCCACGCGCACCATCTCATCCCCCTGGGCCTCTCAGCCTTGAGTTCAGCACTGTGGAGAAGGCCCTGCTGGCACAGCTGTCCCCATGTGCAGTGAGCGCTCCTGAGTGATCAGTGCCCTGTGTGGAGGGACCGTGGAGAAAGATTTAAGACCAGAGAGCCCAGTCCACACCTGCGCTTTGGTTTCGCCTTCCTTCTCGTGTGGACTCCCCTCCTTTTCTTGGGGAACCACCCCCACCCCTCAGTCTCAGGGATAGGGTGGGACTGCAGAGGCGGGCAGAAGTCCCAGGCCTGGTCAGGGAGGGGCTGCGGCTCCCAGGCCATGAGGCACTTTCAGAGCTCATGGGAACTGTGCTGGGCCCATCAGAACACAGAGAACCCATTCTTGGACGCGGACACGCCCAGGTAGGGCGGTGAGCCTGGAGCTGCGGGGGGCCATCCAGTCATCACACAAGGAGAGGCCGACTCACAAGAGCCCCCTCTTCCTCCCCCAAAAACGGAAAGCAGGAAATGAGAGCGGAACTGCGGAGAAAGCGAGCTCTGGTCACATCCCGTGCGTCTCTGAAGTCCGCACGCCTGAAGCCGGGCCCGTGAAGGTCCCCGCTCTCCGTGGAGTGTCAGAAACCACGAGAGCACAGACTGCTGCAGGTGGCTCCTGCGGCCGCGCACTCTCCCCTAGATATGGCTCACGGCCCGGGCTGCCAGCGCGGCTTCCCGAGCGTGTGGGGCTGCCTCCAGTCCCCACGGCAGACCCCATTGCAACAAGAAACCGGAGGCTCACAGCCAGGCCCAGCTCCAGGGCCACAGCACCTGCACTGGCGTGGAGCTGACAAATGCGGCAGCTGACCTGGGTCTGAGCCAGGGGACAGGCGCGGCAAAGCCACCAGCCTGGAAGCCCCGGCCACCTGCTGCAGCCTCCCTGGCAGAGCTGACACGGGGGTAGGTAACACCCAGGGACGGGTTCTCCACTTAGGGATCACTAGCCAGCTGCCGTTTAACGAAGGCTTGCTGGGAGGCCAGCCTGTGCCAGACACCGGACTGCCCTTGCTATCGTCTCCAGACAAGAACACGGAGGCCCCGAAGGACCTGCTCAAGTGAGGCCAGGGGCAGCTCCACATGCTCCCCTCCTCTGGAGGTGAGGGTAAGGGGCCTGGCCTGGGTTATCCTTGGACCCCACTCCCCAGGCTGACCAGAGACGACCCCTCCCTGCACACACCCCCTCCCCGCCACGCTGGGCTGCGGTCCCCAGCAGGTGATCGGGTGAGGCGGGCAGGCTGCCACTCCCAGATGACTGCCCGCTGGCGCCACAGGAAGCGGCTGCACTGCACAGCCAGCCAGTCTCCGGCCAGCCCTCCTGGGCCCACAGGAGCCGGCTGGCTCCTTTGTTGCATAGCCCTGGCCTGGGATGAGGCCGCAGGGAGCTCAGCTGCCGACTTCGGTTCATTATTTTCCACCCCGTTAACCTCCAGCGCCAGGCAGGCTGCTGGCAGCTGAGAGCTGAGATTTCTCTCGCTCGTCCCAGGGCTCAGGAAGGAAGGAGACCTTCATTGCCCCAAAGCCTGGACGAGCCTTCCTCTGAGTCACGCCCACCCAGGAGGACGTGCTGGCGGCAGTGGGTGAGGGCTCAGGACGGGGTGCAGACTGCAAACGTGCAGCCCCCGAGGCAGCAAGGTGGGCTCTGCACGGCCGCACTCGCGCATGTTCGTGTTCTCGTCATCAACCCGCCAGGTCGTGTCTGCTGAGACAGAATCTCATCCTCACTGCTGTGGGGTGGGCGGGGGGAGGGGTGGGCCACGAATGCCATGGCTGCAGAAGTCATCCTAGGCAGGCACGACCCCAGCCAGGACTGTGGAGGGACAGCTACGCTCGCCACTGGCCTGGGCCCTTCTGGCTGTGCCCCGCCACCACGAGCAAAGCCCTAGGACGGGCTCCTGGCGAGAGGCATGAGCCAGATCACATGGTGGCGACTGTGCCCCACGTGCACACAATCACAGCCAGCTTCAGCAGAGCGCTGACGGAGCGCCAGGAGCAGCCCTCTGTGCGAGCCTGGGGAGAACAAGCCTGCGTGCGCATCCTCCTGCCTGCCCTGCACAGAGAGTTCAAGTGACAAGCCCGGCGACACACAGCTAACCCATGACACAAGCAGGATTACAAACTGCAGAATCTCAGAGTTCTGGATCCAGGAGGAGCCCACTTCTCGGCAAACCTCTTCAGGGGATGCTTCTCTCCCTGATTCACTGTTTGTTTGGCCCTCACGTTGGCCCTGGGAAGTGATGACCCTGGTCCCGCCCCGTGGATGCGGACAGTGAAGCTCACAGGAGCGGGCCCAGTTCTCCACACACTCACGGTACAGGGAGCTTGGGACAGACAGGCCTCAGGGACATCAAAAAGGGGCAGCTCCCTCCACCCGTGACCTCCGGCCAGTACCTGGGCCAACGCTTCCAGCAAGAAAGGGCCACCCTGTCAGAGGCCTAAGAACAAGCCACAGTTCCTGCTGCCGAAACTGATCCCACAACAGGACACTGGGTATGACCCAGAGGTTCATGGCCGTGTCATTCATGAGAGCAAATCAATGGCAATCCCCTGAGATATGAATTCAATACATGGGGGACATCTAAGTAATGAACCGTGACACAATCACTCAAAACGGTTCATAGGTCTATCTACTGACGTGGGAAAAACCCACCACCATAGGACAGTCTGTGAGGTGACGTCAGCAGGAAGTACAACCACGCGTGCCGTCTGGTCTCACGTGGGGACAGCAGGTCCGGGAAACACACAGCACATATGCGCGCAGAGGAACTGCATTTGCATTTGTGCGTGGAAGAAATTCCCAGAGCAGCAAAGTGAGGCTGTCTGAGCCAGGACGCGTGCTGGCGCCCACTCTTCTGCACCTCCTCTGGGGCCTGCGTCCCACTTCCCCAGCCACGCGAACGGTGTTTATGCAGCGGTGGATGTGGCCGTGGCCGAGAGCAGTGTCTCTGAAGGCACGTGCAGGGTTCGAGCCCCAGGCCCAGCCCTCAGCCCCTGACAACCCTCAGCAGGCCTGCCCTCCTGATGTGGGTGCCACCACGGCCAGCCTAGGGCGCTGGGGGCAGGGGCCCGGCCTGCGCACCCACCTTTTTGAAGAGCCTGATGACATCCTCGCTGATCTGGGACAGGCGGACGATGACGTTGTTCATGAAGATGTCGTTGAGGGTGGCATGGTCCCGGCTCTCCCGCCGGGTCTGGTGCAGGACCAGGTACCAGCAGTTCACGGGCGACAGAAGGTACTGGTCCTTCCTGTGGAAACCAACACAGCGCGGGTGACTCCCTCACAGCTCGCGTCCACACCGTGTCACACTGTGACCCGCCAGCACTTTATGATGTTGGAAAGCTCATTTGTTTGAAAGGCAGACAAACAGCAGGAAGGGAGGGGGCGCAGAGAAGAGGTCAATCTCCCATCTGCTGGTTGACTCCCCAAACGCCTACAGCAGCCAGGGCTGAGCCAAGCTGAAGCCAGGAGCCCGGAACTCCATCAGGGTCTCCCACGTGAATGGCAGGGACCCACACACTGAGGCCATCACCTGCTGCTTCCCAGAGCGTGTGGGGTAGGAAGCAGGAATTTGGAGCAGAGTTCCGACGTGAACCCAAGCAAACAGATAAGAGGTGCAGGCACGCCCAGCGTCCTAACTACTGTGCCAAACATCCACCCCTCCCCCCCGTTCTCTAGACCCTCCTGATGCCCACCAAGGTGGGCTTTATTGTCACACATCCCACAGATGGGCAACAGAGCCCCCCACCCACCCACCCACCCATGAGGCCTGGGCAGACGATGGTGGCCACACAAGGCTGGACCAGTGAAGCGCCTCAGCAGAGAGGAGACCGCTGTGAGAATTTCTAGAAACAGGAGCAGCAGCAGGGAGCAGTGGGTGTGACTGCGAGGCCTGGAGCTCAGGCAGCCGAGCGGGTGCTGATGCTGTGGAATTAGATCACAAAGGAGGTGTAGGCAGAACGTGCTTCTCAGGGACTCCTCCACGGTGATGGAAACGGACAGACGAAAGAGGAGTGGGGACAACTGAGCTGCTAGCTAACTTACTCCAGGGCTCAGCTCGTCCCTCCCTGCAAGACACGAACGGGCAAAGCCCCGGAAGTCGCAGCAGCAGCTGAGTTTCAGAGGAAAGGAAAGAGACGCAGGGTCTTGAAGGGGCACTGAAGGGCTGGGACAACGGCAGGCCATGGATCAGGTCACCTGGCCGGAGACACGAGAGGAAGGCAAGAGAGGACAGCACCAGCTCTGCAGGAGCCGAGGGCTGGTGGGGGAGGCAGAACGCTCCCAGGGCAAGTCCCGAGAGCAACGTGAAGAGAGTGGCTGCTGAGAAGACCAAGGGTCTGAGAGAGTCCTGGCTGTCGCTCCTCTGCTGTTCCCGTGTGCATGCCGGGCAGGACGCGGTGCTGTAGGTACAGCCGTGACCAGTGCTAACAAGACTGTGCCCCACAAGCCTGCCCAGGGAGGGGAGATACATGAGGAGATGGCCTCACCCAGCACCACGGGAAGGTGGTTCTGGAGCACCTGAGGGCCACCTTGCCCAGATCTGGCGGTGAGACCCCGGAGGGCTTCCCAGAGGAGGCAGTCTCCACACTGAGAATTAAAGGGTAGGCTGGAGTTTCCCTGGTGGAGGTGGAGGAAAAGGACGGCCCAGGGCTCAGAGGACAGCAGGTGGGGGCGCATTGGTGCTGAGTGCAGCAGCTGGCTGTGGAGGGGCTGGGGTCCCTGCTTGGTGTTCTGGGTGAGGGTCAGGGTGATGAATGGGGTTGCAGACACAGGCAGAGGCCTCGAGCCACTCCAGAGCCTGAGCTTCGTCCTGAGACAGGCAGGGAGCCGGAGAGGGTTTCGGCCGCGGTGAAGGGGTGAGACGCACTCGTCAAGCCCCTGCTCAGGCTGCCGCGCCGATCACAGGCTGGGGCCCAAACACAAGGGAGGCTTTCGGGGAACAGCGAGGCTGGGAATGACAGACGGGCAGACTGAGGGGGAGGCAGCGGCATCCGGGACGCCTCTCCGGGGTTCTCATCTGAGCCCCGGGTGGGGGAGGAGAGGGCCAGAGGCAGCCATCGTGGACGTGAACAGGCAGCCCATGGTGGGGCAGGAGGGAACACGCTCAGTCTGACCTGGCTGCTACGTGGGGCACCCACACGGAGAACTGTGGGCTGAACAGACAACTGCAGAAGCGGGCAGCATGTGCTTGGGTGAGGTTGACGCCTTAGAAACGAACAAGTGCCACACACCACAGGGTGCAGGCTGGAATCCCTAGGAGGCCGGGCAAGGTGGGGGTGGGGGAACGTCACAGTGGCTCTGCCCTCTCGGCATGCTGGAAGTAGCCAGCATCCGCACGGTGTGCAGTTCCACGTCCACCATCTCGCCAGCAGACCCATCCCTCGGGACGCCCCAGCACGGGAGGTGGCCAGTTTGGCTCCCTGCGTGGGGGGAAGCTCGCTGGTAGATAAAAGGCTGAGGCGAACTGTCCATGGACAGCGTCTGGAGCAGGGTTAGCCTCAGTGTGCAAAGCTGGCACCTGTGCCTTGGCCACAACGGACCAGGCTCTGGCCATGGAGGGAAGGGCTAGGCTGGGACCTCACTCAGCAAGACAGGAAGTCACTGCACCTGTATCTGCCACACCAGCTCTGGGACTGCAAGCAGGTCACCTGTGCCCTGTGGCCTGGCTCCTCAAAACACATCTGCAGACAGACAGCAGAAGAGAGCGCTGGGTCACTCGAGCCCTGGTCACCCACTCGGCACGCTCCTGTGTGCAGGGACAGGCTCGGGGACACGCGGAGCAGAGCACCCCCAGGGAGAGCCAGATGGCCCTCAGGCACCCACAAACACGTGGGCAGCTGTTGGGGGGACTTCCAGGAAGGGGACCTGGCCTGATTCCGCACTGAAGGGTCCCTGGGGAAGGGGTGGTGACGCTGGTCTCTGAAGGTGAGGGAGGGAGGTAGCTGGGAGGGTGGGCTGCAGGAAGGGCTCCAGGCAGCGTGTGTAGGTGAGGCCGGGTCTCAGAGCTCTGCTGAGTGACCCCTGTCCGCTGGCCACGCCCCTGGTACAGGACTGGGGAAGAAGCACCTTCTTTGCCAAGGAGTTCCTGGACCCTTCCCACAGTGGCAGCCCTGTGACCTGGGATCCAGCTCCCACGGCAGAAGCCATCCTTGCCTGGGCCACCTTCCGCTGCTTTCCCAGGCCATTAGCAGGGAGCTGCATCCTAAGTGGAGCAACCAGGACATAAACCGGTACCCACATAGGATGGCGGCGCTGTTGCAAGTGGTGGCTTCAATCACTGTGCCACAGCACCGACCTCTAGCCTCTTAGAAGGTGACAAAACAAGCCAAGCGGGTGATCTCCAGTCCCAGGCACCCTTGGAACAGCCTCTCTGCCTTCCTAGTCTTGCATCCGTGCGTCTCGGCAGCAGCAGAAGCTGCTGAGCTCTGCCTTCCCCTGCGAGTGTGCGTTTTCTTTCCGGGTGGCCAGAAAATAGCAGTGACTATTTCTGGTGAGTCACAGCTTTCTCTCTTTGGCTTGGCGAGCTGGGGATCAGCGTCCAAACACTGCAGCTCGCAAAGCCAGGCCCTGCCAAGCTGGTGCATCAGGAACACGAAATCAGCAGTGAGACATCTTCAGCTTCTCAGCTGGGGGCCGGAAAATTCTGCCTAGCAAACGGAACACACTTCCAAGCTGTAGAGCCCCCCTCGCTGCGGAATCAAGCCAAACCCACAGCCCTGGCATCCTGCTTCCTCTAGGAGGGAGGGGGCTCCTGCAGCTGACACCAACCCCAGGTGCCAAGTCCCTGCCTCCGGCTTCCTGCTCCCATCCAGAATGTTCTCACACCTTGCACAGGAGACGTTCACCAGCAAAGCGGTCTATGAAAAGCGCAATCTCAATCCCTTCCTGGGCCAGAGCGGTGTGGTTAACCTCTTGCTGCCTGAGCTGCCCCGAGCAGGATTTGGAATCCGCCACATTCACTCGTGGCATCAGTCACTGAACAGCAATGGAGTGCCTGTCTGTGCCTGGCAACAGTGATAAAAATGAGCCACACTCCTGCTTCGTGGCCCCTCCTGTGGGGGCCTCAGAGAATACCAAACAGTCTCACACATGAGGAGAGGGGCTGACGAGTCAGAACGCAGAGCTGCAGTCCACCTGCGGCCATCCTGGCTCTTCTGGCCCCTGAGACCCTCCCCGGTGGTCCTGCTCCCTGCTCCTTGAGGCCTCCCTGGCCACCTGCAGCACCCCTCACCTCACCTCTATCACACCCCCTGATCTGATCATGATTCCAGCACCATCTAGCTGGGCTTTTGCTCGGGTCCTTGCTCCCTGTCCCGCTGACACTGCCCGCCGGGGCCCAGGCAGGACAGGGTGCATGGTCGGCTCTCCGAAGGTGAAGGAAGCCCTGACCCTGGACCAGAAGGGTGGGGAGCCCACAGCATGGCCCACGGAGGAGGATAAGCATGGCGGGCAGCAGCTACGCAGGCCCTGTGGGCACCGGCATCTTCAGAGGAGGTGAGCATGGCCGGAGGACAGGGCACTGGATGAAGGGTGGAGACAAAGCCAGGCGGCAGCACAAGCAAGAGCCACAGGTTTCCTAGGGTGCCTTAGTGGAGGACACCCCCCTACCCGGAGAAGCTGATGGCCTCCCAGTTCGGAGGCGGGCAGCATGAGATGCCAGTGGTGGCTCCGAGGCTGGGAGGGGCACCTGTGCCAGCCCTCTTACCAGCTTCGGGTGGTCTGGGGCCATCTCTGGCATCCTTGGCGGGGAGCGGCATCACCCTGACCCCCTGATCTCTGCTTTCGCCTGCTTCAGGGCCCCCACCATGTCTGTATCCCAAGGCCCCTTTGGCGAGGGTGCCAGTCACATCGGCTTAGGCCAAGCCCATGCCTCACCTTTCTGTATCTCCATACAGATGAGACTCTCAGACCAGATCACATCCCGAGGGGCTGGGGCTCAGGAATTCAAAACATGAACGTCAAGGTGACACAGGTCCCCTGAGTAGGCTGCCCCTCCCCAACTGGACTGGGGGCCCAAGGCCAATTCCTGGGATACCCCAGGCATCTTTCCTTGGGCCCGTGACAGGAGCAAAGGCCACGGGGCAGAGGGGCCATCTGCCCCCTGTGCTGTCAAAGCAGGGCTCTCCCGCATCCCCCTCTTTGTCCACAGGAACCTCCCCCACAGCGGCTGGAGCCCCAAGCCAGGGATGGTCTCTGCACCTGCCCCTTTCTCGTGGATGACCTCGTCTTGGGTGTTCTGAGGGAACTC